CCAGTATTCCATCTTCCAACGTGTGGTTTCTTGGATAATTCACCTTACAATACTAGTAGAGCAGGAGGAGTAGACAGAGGAGTTTGGATGCTGCTGGTGTCATGGGGAAAACCCCTTGCTCTGAGCACACTACTTTGCCCTCCCACCACTAAATCCAAAAACCCCCATGGGGGACAAGCTGAGAGAGCCTCCAAGCATGAAAGCAGGCTGGCTCATCCCCAGCTTCGCGTCCTTCTTTTGCTGAAGAGATGCAAGCACGTGCTGCCTAAGGCGAAGTTCTTGGCTTGGAGTTTTGCTCCCATGAAGGCCTTTGCTGGAGAATGAGAAGGGAGGGCAAAGAGGCAAATGGAGGATGGGGAGCCTTCTGCAGAGGGCTTCTCCCACGTGTGCTCAGAACTGCAGCTGCTTTCCTGGCTGAGCCCAGGGCTCCCAGCCCTGAGGCCCACCTCCGAGGATGGGAGGGGGCAGCAGCCAGGAGCACCAGCAGGGAGCCCTGAGCCAGGGCTGCAGGACTGCATGGGGACTTCTTAAGGATGCCCGAGGTCAGCAACCTGCCAACTCCTATAACTAGATCTAATGATGACCGCCTAGTTCAAAAAAGAGGATTTAACCCAAAGCCGATTTAGCAGAGTACCTTTCTAGACGGCAGGGATCCCTAGGCGGGACTTTGGAGGCTCCCCTCCCCCCCCCCATTCCTCACATCCAAGAACTCAGATGCACCAGCATAAGCCATGAGGATCGTCCCTGGGTTGTTCTATTTATAATGAAGTGTCTGCCAGAGCGCGCCCACATCACACACTGTAGCTCTCAGAGCTGTGCAGGGAAAAATCACTGACATTAAAACCCCCTCAAATTCTCATCTAACATGTAAATGTTTCAGGACACAGACTGATGATCGAAGAATCGCAAAGCTCATTAAGGTAATTTTTTATTTACTTCTTTTCTGGTGGATTCTGAGTCTTGAACTTGGTCTGAGCACTGTCCCTGAGCTCTTCTTTTGCTCAAGACTAGCACTTACTCTACTGCTTTGAGCCACTGTTCCACTTCTGTTCTTGTTTTTTTTTTTTTTTCCTGGAGGTTAATTGAAGAAAAGAGTCTCACAGACTTTCCTGCCCAGGCTGGCTTCGAACTGCGATTCTCAGGTCTCAGCATCCTGAGTAGTTAGGATTACAGGCATGAGCCACCAGCGCTTGGCTCATTAAGGTAAATTTCCAAAACACATTTTGACTTTGACCTAATTTCTAGATATCAGTTTTACTCAGGAGAGAATATTTTTGTAGTTGTTTTAATAGTATTAAAAATCAGCTCCAAAAAGGGATTGAATTTGCTCTTCTAGCATTGATGAACATGAAGTTGGTAAACAAATACATTTGGGACATCTGTCTAATAAATATAAATGATCTGTATTGAACAGGTGCAGTAGCCCATGCTTATAATCCCAGCTACATAGGAAATGGAAATAGGAGGATCTCTCCCTATTCAAGGTCGGCGTGTCGGTGGCAACAACAAAGTGAGACCTTATTCTAGACAAAATTATGAGGTTCAATCTGAAAACTAAAGTAAAATGAGTGGGAACTGTGGCTCCGGCTCCAGTGGTAGAGTGCTTGCAAGTGCATGAATTCAAATTCAAACTCTGGTATCTCTCTCTCTCTCTCTCTCTCTCTCTCTCTCTCTCTCTCTCACACACACACACACACACACACACACAGGAAAAAAGACAAACTCCCTATAATCTATAAAGCTATCATGTTAGTATTTTCAGTTACTCTTACAAAATACAAAATTAGGAAAACAAGAAAACAAAAGAGACAGAGGAGCTAAGTAGTCACTCAATCAGCACATACCACTGTTAAATCAACTCGAAGTAAACTAGGACCTTTAGCTTAGGTAGGAAATTGTAGAAAAGACATTATCTTATTCTAAAGCAGTTTACATAGTGATCAAAAGCAATTCACCCAAGTCTTCTTTAAAAGCATTTCATTTTAGATATTATTTATTTATCTACCTATTTAATTAATTTATTTTTGTGTTTCTGAAGATCAAGCCCAGAGCTACGTAATTATTCTGCCACTGAGACACATTCCTGTCCCCATTTCAGATCACTTAAAAAGTCATTATCAGTTGGATGCCGATGCTCATGCCTGTAATCCTAGCTACTGAGGAGGCTGAGATCTGAAAAGCATGATTGAAAGCCAGCCCATCAAGAAAGTTCATGAAACTCTTATCTCCAATTAGCTACCCAAAAGCAGGAAGTGGAGCTGTGGCTCAAGTGGAAGAGTGATAGTTTGGGCATAAAAGCTCGAGGACAGTGCCCAAGTTTAAGGCTCCAGAAGTAGCACAAGCGCCGGTGCACACACATACACAGACACAGACACACACACACACACACACACAGAGTAATATCGAACAAGTTGTTACATTTTTTACCCTTGACCACATTCCAACATAGTATCTAATCAGATGATGGTCTGGTATGTATGATATGTATATACATACATATATATGTATATATGTATGATATGTGTATACTATATGCAATATCGCTCCTCAACAGTAGCGAGATTTGAATTCAGGTCATCATGCTTGCTTGCCTTCCTTTAGCTGGCATTCTGCTACTTGAGTCTCATTTCCAACCTGGCTTTTTGCTGGTTATTTTGGAGGTGGAGTCTCTTGTACTTTTTCTGTCTGGGCTGGCTCTGTACTGTGATCCTCAGATCTTAACCTCCTGAGTAGTTAGCATTACATACAGGCGTGAGCCACTGGTGCCTGGTTGATATATGTAATTTATATTGTCATTTTTTTTTTTTTTGCTGGCTCTGTTGTTTGAGGTTGGAGAGTTCTTAAATACTCACAGGCAGGATTTATTCTTACTGGGTACCCCAACGTGTCAGCCCTGGTGATCTATTTGCTCAAACACAAGGCCTGTAAGCCTTAGCTTCCAGGAGCTTCTGAGTAACTCAAAGCAGACATAAATTTGGAATACAGCCTCTAATGCCAGCCTCTGGCCACATTCCTATTTCTGTTTCTTCTAGGATGTTCCAAACCCAATAAGTAAATCTTCCAACAAGAAGCAAATCCTTTACAAATACAACCTGCTCAGTTTCATTCTTCCATTTAGTCTTTGTATTGGTTATTTGCTTTTTTTCCTACTTGGTCCAAGATGGGACTTGAACTCTCTAAGTGACACTTTCAGCTCATTGGCAGGTTCCCTACCACCTGAGCCACACCTCCAACCCACTTTACTCTTAATATCATAGCTTTTCTAGTCTATAAAGTAATCTAAAAACAAAAACAAAAAACCTATCCCCCCACCTCTTTTTCCCCTTTCCTTCTCCCCCTCCCCCACTCTCTCTTCTTTGCCCTGAGTTCTTTTGCTCAAGGCTAGTGCTCCACACCACAGCACCACTTCCAGTTTTCTGGCATTTAACTGGAGATAAGAGTTTCACAGACTTTGTTGCCCAGGCTGGCTTCAAATCTCGATCCTCAGATCTTCAGCCTCCTGAGTAGTTAGGATCACAGGCATGACCCACCAGTGTCTGGATCCTTTTTTTTTTTTAGTAACAAAGTAGATAATAAAGCCAGAATATATAAAGCTTTTCCCCAGGCCCTGTCAGTTTGCCAGCCCTCATCACGGATGCTAACAAGCTTGCTAAAGCAAAACGTTTGATTCAATGTCATTGGTTTTAAAGACTGAAAGTCGCAGTAAGGGAAAGGAGAAATGAATTGAAAAGGTCTACAGAATAGTTCAGTAGCAAACCTCCGAGCCTTTTGAACTTGGGGTGGGCATTTCCTATATGGTAATTTCTGGGTTGAGGAAACAGAATACCTGGAAGAACAGATGGAGAGACTCCAACTATTTTAGCTTCTTTTGTTTTTGTGAGTTTTTTTTAAAGCATTTTAACAGGTATCCATTCTTTAGAAAGTTAAATAAGTAGTAATTTATACACAACCATATATGATTTTTACACTGAAATCAAGGATGAATGGCATTCTCTTACAATAGTCAAGTTCAAGAACTTGATTATCATTCGTTTTTTTTGTTTTGTTTTTTGGTCAGTCGTGGTGCTTGAACTCTGGGCTTGGGCACTGTCCCTGTGCTCTTTAGCTCAAGGCAAGCGCTCTACTGCTTGAGCTACAGCGCCACTTCTGGTTTTCTAGTGGTTTATTGGAGATAAGAGTCTCACAGACTTTCCTGCCTGGGCTGGCTTTGAACCATGATCCTCAGATCTCAGCCTCCTGAGTAGCTTGGATTACAGGCATGAGCCACCGGTGCCCGGCTTGATGTTCATTCTTTTGCCACAGAGTCACATTTGTAATCCCAGCTACTCTGCAGACAAGATCTGGAGGCTCACAGTTCAAGAAAGTCCATGAGATTCTTCATCTCTTTAGCCAGCAAAAAGCCAAAAGCACAGGTGTGGCATAAGTGATAGAGCACCAGCCTAGCAAGTGTAAGGCTATGAGTTCAAACTCCAGTCTTTTTAAAAGAAGACCAAAGGTAAATTATTTCAAGTAGAAAGCCATTTGTAGGAAGAATCTGAAAATGTAGATACTTCCCTAATCAATTTCAAATATGAGCTTCCTGGTTTGCTTTGTGATTTCATGTCTATTAACATCCTTAGGGTTCATGTCTATAAGCTTAGCTGCTCAGGAGACTTAGATATGAGGATCACTGTTCAAAGCCAGCCCAGGCAGGAAAGTCCATGAGACTCTCATCTCTGATTATCCAGGAAAAATAAAGTCAGAAATAGAGCTGTAGTTTGAGTGGTAGAGCACCAATCTTGAGCAAAAAAAAAAAAGCTCAGGGACAGTGCCCAAGGCCCTGAGTTCAAGCCCCAGGAGTGGGAACATGGCCCTCTATTCTTGTAATCATCCCAGGAAAAGCCTGCCTCTGTCTCTGTCTCTCTCTGGTCACAAGCTATTCAAAAGCTGGAATTCACCCTTGGGCACCTGTCCACAGCCCCAGGGACAGGAGCCTGACCCCCATGCCCCCCCCAGGCTACCTCTCCCGCTCCTGCTCCAGCAGGTTGGTGAAGTCGTCGCTCTTGTTCATGTAGTCCGTGTGCTTGTGCTTCTCCGTCTCCAGCTCGTCCACCGTGCGCCGGTGACACTTCTCGGCCAGCAGCAGCTGCTCGAGCATGCGCCGATACGTCTCCCTCTGCTTCTCCTCCAGCCTGTCCAGCTGCACCAACAAAAGCAGCACCAAAGCTGAGTATTTGCTCTCATTTGCAGACGACTTTCTAAGGAGTCCATTTTCATTCACCCAGTGATGTATGGATGGAAAAGGGAGAACACTGAATGGGATATCTCTGCCCTTTCTGGGGTCATTTTCTCTGGCTGGCCTCCAACCTTTACTCCTCCTTACCTGAGTGCTGGGATTACAGGCATGCACTACAATGCCCAGTTCATAGTGCTCCAGTTTTGTATCTTCTGGCCTTCTGATCTCTTTTCTATATGTACAGGTAGGGCCATTCGATTTTCAGGACAGGCTCTTTCATTGTTTTAATGAGATAGCGCAAAGCCCGTGTACTCACAAAGATAGCGCATTATGTTCCTCCTGATCTCAGAAACATGAGGCAGTTACATACACCTCCCATAAACACCACCACCATCCTCTTATTTTAAAGCTTTTAGCCATATGCATTTCTAGGAAGGGCATCTGAAGGATCCAAAGTTTCTCTCTCTCTCTCTCTCACTGGGTTCCTGGTGACCACACTAGAGAGGTGAGATCATTGTTGTAGGGCTGAGCATCAGAGGATTTTTATCCTCCCCCCTCCCCCCACCTCTGCCCCCATGCTAGTAGCAACTGGTCTAGTGGTGACAGTTCACTGTCCCCTCCCTGGGTGAAACCACTGCTCCTGGTGAAAAACAGATTCATTTATAATCCATTCTCAATCCTGCCACCCCATGCCTAAAATCCACAGTGGCCGCCTCCCATGGTACCACCATCAGAGCTGGTCCCCTCGGGTTTTCATTTGCCCTTTGGTTATATGAAGGATCAGGCCCACACGATTAGCTCATATCTGTAATCCTAGCTACTCAAGAAGCTGACATCGGAGAATAAGGGTTCAAAACCACCTTGGACAGGAAAGTCAGTAAGATTCTTATCTGCAGGTAGCTCAAGTGGCAGCGTGAAAAAGCTAAAGGACAGTGCTCAGACCATGAGTTCAAGCTCCAGGACAAGCACAAAGAAGAGAAAGAGAGGACAGAAGGAGAGAGAGAGACAGAGAGAGAGAGAGACAGAGACAGAGACAGAGAGACAGAGACAGTGAGAGACAGAAAGGGAAAGAGAGACAGAGAGAGACAGAGGGAGAAAAGAAGGAAGGGAGGGAGGGAGGGAGGGAGGAGGAGGAGGAAGGGAGAAAGGGAGGGAAAGGGGGCTGGGAAGGTGGCTCAGTGGTAGAGCGCTTGCCTTGCATGCTCGAGGCCCTGGGTTCGATTCCTCAGCACCACATAAGCAAAAAGAAAAAAGCCGGCGCTGTGGCTCAAGTGGTAAAGCGCTAGCCTTGAGCTGAAGAGCTGAGGGACAGCGCCCAGGCCCAGAGTTCAGGCTCCACAACTGGGACCCCCCCCCCAAAAAAAAGAAAGGGAGGGAGAGAAGGAAGATCGCTCTATAACTTCACGGTATACTCAGTTGTGAAAGGATTGAATTCTGGGGCCCAAAGTAAAAGAGGGGTTGCTCCTATCATCCCTGGGATCCTCCTCCCATCCCTTTGCTTAGCAGCCTACATCCCAGTGGAGACCAGGGAGAAGCCCATGTTAATTAGCAGCTGATGGTAACTAAGATGTCTTCTGATTTCTGCCCAGGGTCTTAAAGCAACAGTTAAGAGCTGTCTGCTTTGGAAGAACTCCTTAAGAAGCCTCTAGACTCTTTACCGATGTGATTTTCACCACACGTGATGCACTTTGTCACGCATTACAGAAGCATCATCAGAACTTTTATCCTTTCTGATCCTTTCTACTTTTTGCAAAAAGATTTTGAATTCTGGAGCTAGGCACAGGTGGCTTACACCTATAATCCTTGCTACTTAGGACGCTGAGATCTGATGATCATGGTTCAAAGTCAGCCCAGGCAGGAAGGTCCCTGAGACTCTTTTTTTTTTTTTTTGGGTTGGTCATGGGGCCTGAACTCTGGGCCTGGGTGCTGTCTCTCAGCTCTTCAGCTCTACTGCTTGAGCCACAGCGCCACTTCCAGCCTTTTCTGCTTATGTGATACTCAGGAATCGAACCCAGGGCCACATGCATGCAAGGCAAGCACTCTACCACTAAGCCACCTTCCTAGCCCTCCCCAAGACTCTTATCTCCAATTAACCACCAAAATCTGGAAGTGGAGCTGTGACATAAGTGGTAGAGTATTGGCCTTGAGTATAAAAGCTCAGGGACAGTGTCTAGGTCCAGAGTTCAAGCCTTAGGGCCAGAAAAACAAAAACAAAAAAAGACGGAATATTTGGAGTACAGCTTTTGTTTCTTCATAGCCTAATAACTTATTTGAAGGTTGTGTTTAGAAAATGAAACAGGGTATATATAGCTCAGCTTCTTCCTCCCTTCCTTCCTCCCTTCTTTCCTTCCTTCCTTCCTTCCTTTTCTTTCTTTCTTGTACTGGGGATTGATTTCAAAGCCGCTTTCTTTTTTTCCTTCCTTCCTTCCTTCCTTTCTCTCTTTCTCTCCTCTCCTTCCCTCCTTCCTTCTTTCTTTCTTTCTTTCTTTCTTTTTTTCTTTCTTTCTTTCTTTCTGGTACTGGGGATTGAATTCAAAGCCCCTCCTGAGTACAGCTAGGATTAAAGGTATGAGCCATTGGTGCCAGGATTTCTTTTTTAGTCTTGCCAGATATATACATTGCTCTGAAGGCCCAAACTTTCCCTGGGGTCCTTTGAACACTTCGGGAATCGTCAAGGGAAGAAGCCAGTGCTTTGAATTGGACAGTGGATAGTGCATTGGATGTGTGCAGATGCAACAGCAGGGCCTGGGCTGGCAGGAGCAGGCCTGAGCCTGACACTTTCTGCCTGTCAGGGCCTTCGGTTGTTCAGTGTTTGCAGTCTTGGCAGTCTGGGCTGGAAGAGGTAGTTTGTATGCTACTCACGTCACCCACCTCTAGCCTATACCAGGTGATCACATCAGGAAGACAGCCTTGCGGTCTCTGGAGTTGTTAGTTTGTATGTGGAGTTTCTTAGGCAGAATATTAGACCCAGACTTTTAGCGCTAGGGACAGTAAGTTCTGCTAAGATACAGTAGTGTGAGACTCTAGCTCCTATGTTCAATTCTGCTTAGATTACTTCTAAACTGAGAAGCGGACAATTGGAGTTTCAGTGTAAAGTGTAACTCAGACAGGCACACAGATATGTGTTTAGGTTGTTCAAACTGTAATTATAATGTGATTTTTAAAATGGCGTCTCAGCCAGGCACTGGTGGCTCATGTCTGATCATCCTAGTAACCATGAGGTTGAGATCTGAGGATCTCAGTTCAAAGCCAGTCTGGGCAGGAAAGTCCAGTAAGACTCCTATCTCCAGTTAATCATCAAAAGAGTCAGGAATGGTGCTATGGCTCAAGTGGCAGTCCACTAACCTTGAACAAAAACATTCAAGGACAGCACCTAGGCCCCGAGTTCAAGCCTGAGGACAGACATTCTCAGAAAAGAAAGACTTTTCTAACAGGAGAGCATTTGACTATAGGACCTGGACACAAGTGGCCTGGGCCTATAATTCTAGCAGCTTGAGAACATGAAATTGGGAGGATTATGGTTCTAGGCCAGCTCAAGCAGAAAAGTCTATGAGACTCTGCAGTCATGAGAGGAAGCTCGATGCAGTGGCCTATACCACCCCAGAGACCAGGGGAAGCCCAAAAGTAGACAAATCACTTCTCAGGTACACACAATCCAGGAGAAAGGGAGACCCTACCCTAAAGTTCACCAGTGAAAGCCAGTGCTGGGCATGTGGTTCAGCAGTGTCATCCATCCAAGCAAGTGTGAAGTCCTGGGTTCTAACCCCAGTACTGCCAAAAAAAAAAAAAAAAGATGGGTCTCAGATCGTCTTGCCAGAGTTGTCTCATGGTAAGAGCATACCATGGGCGACTTGCCGCCTAAATTAGAGAATTCTGGAAGCTGCTGTCTGTCCTGAAATCATCTAAAGCAGATCCTGTCTCAGAGATCTGTTAAACTGAGCTGTTCCAAAGGCTTCAAGCAAGCGAGAAGTTAGAGGATCAATTGCTCCAGACTTTTGTTCATTTTTGTGCTATGTTTTATCCATTCATCATACTAATTTCATAGCTATGGATTTTTTATATAAATTTTGGGGAGTCAAAATGACTACATCCTTGCCAGGTACTGGTGGCTCTCACCTGTAATCTTAGCTGCTCAGGAGGCTGAAAGCTGTACCTGTTTGACTTACATTTTACATTGAAACTACTAATTGTCCCGTTCTCATCTTAGAAGTATTCTAAGCAGATCGTGGTTCGAAGCCAGCCTGGGCAGGAAAGTCTGTATGACTCTTATCTCCAATTAAATCACAGAAAAAAAAAAGCTGGAAATAGAGCTATGGCTCAAGTGGCAGAGTGCTAGTCTTGAGCAAAAGGACTTCAAGGACAGTGCCCAGGCCCACAGTTCAAACCTCAGAAACAGCATTTTTTGTTTGTTTGTTTTTTTAAAGGCTAGATCCGTAAACTAGAACTCTGACTAGGCACTGAAGTCCTAAGAGACAATGTAAAGTACGGTGTCTTGCTGGGTGAGGTGTGCATTCCTATAATCCCTGCATTCACAAAGCTGAGGCAGGAAGATTACAAGTTTGACACTAGCTTGGGCTTTGCTTTGTAATTAGTTCTTTTTTTTTTTTTCTTCAAAGAGCCAAGCACCAGTGGCTCATGTCTGTAATCCTACCTAACCAGGAGGCTGAGATCTAGGGGCATATGTTCGAAGGCAGCCTGGGCAGGGAAGTCCACAATACTCATCTCCAATTAAGCCAGAAGTAGGGTTGTGGCTCAAGTAGCAGAGCACCTGCCTTGAGCAAAATAGCTCAACGTCCAGCTCACACACATACAAATGTGTATTTTACTTCAGAAGATAAAATAAACTATGGTATCATAAGTAGTTAAGAATAACAGTCCCTAATTTCTAATAGAATCTCATATAAAATGATAAAATCTATCCTGGTTGGAATTCTTTTCATCCCAAAGGATTGCCCTAAGTATTGCAGTAAGATTCTCCCAGAATCAGTCATTGTATTTTGCAATAGAACTCTTTGATTATAACAGTCTCCAAGATGGCTTCACAATCATAAATCTAAGTAATAACATCAATTAAAATTTAAGTTACCAGTTTGATAGTAATTGTGACTAATCATGGCTAAAACTGACCAACACTCCCCCCCTTTTTTAAAGACATTATTCTTTCCTAGAGAAATAAAACAATGATGTACTTTAAAGGGAAAAAAATGTATGCCAACCTTTAAAAATGTAAAGTCAAAGCTCCAGAAATTCTTGCAACGCAAACTTCTCCACTCCAAGCCCCAGGCTTATTTAATTGGTGTATCAAGGAGTCTTGGGAAGCAAGGGCTGAAGCATGGGGCTGGGAGGCGTGGGGGTTCTGGGGACCGAGCTGGGGCGCTGATTTTACCTCTGAGATGGGTTTCTCATAGACATCTTCTCCTATGGACTTCTCCTGAGCCAGGAGGGCATCGCGATGCAGCACTCGCAGAACTTTCTCGGGCTCCGCAGAACCGTAATGAGCCTCCAGAACCTCGGGCTTGGTTTTCTCTGTCTTCAACATATGGATCACATCTTCCCTGGCCTGCGGTGGGAAGGAGAAAGGTGAGATGGCGCTGGCTTGCTCACTCAGCACTGAGCTGATCCAAACGCATCCCCAGCTCTTAAAGCCATCGACAAACTCACGGGGTATGCTGTTCTTTCTTTTTTTTCTTTTCTAACCCACAGCAGATTGGCAAGCAGATATTCTGCTTCAGGTTGCTAGGAAGCAGGCAAGCAGAAAAGGGACTTGTGCTAATATTAACTGTATAAGGTTGCTTGATGCAAGTCGCGATGATGTGAACGAGGGGGTAGGCAGGGCTGGATTGGGGATCTCTCACCTGTACTTGAGGTCAAATGCAATCCAAAATGTTCTAGTGTGTGCGTGCGTGCGTGCGCGTGCGTGCGTGTGTGCACGCATAAGCATGCACACACACGCATGCACGTGTTTTGGTGCAGTGGCTTGAATTTAGAGCCTTGAATTCTGTCTCTTAGCTTTTATGCTCCAGGCTGGTGCTCTGTCACTTGAGCCACTGCTCCATTTCTGGCTTTTTGCTAGTTAATTGGAGATAAGAGTCTCTCAGATTTGTCTGCCCAGGCTGGCTTTGAATCATGATCTTCAGATCTCAGCCTCTTGAGACGCTGGGATTCTAGGCATGAGCCATCAGTGCCCAGCTTTTGATTTCTTAGTACAACTTTAACATCTTGCTAAAGCTCCCGAGAGAACCACATGGTAGCAGGTTTCATGAGGGAGAATCTCTTTGGTTTCTATCACATAGCACACATACATCTGGATGTACTTTCTACTGATTCCTTGTGATGATATTTTTAGTCATGGCAAAGCTGACATTTACTGAATGCACCCCATCCACACATATGCTGGGAGCTGTTTCTTGTTATGATGATGGGTAACTTTTCTGACTGCATTTCAACGAGCTGCCCAGGTACTGGTGGATCACGCCTGTAATCCTAGCTACTCAGGAGGCTGAGATCTGCAGATTGTGGTTTGAAGCCAGTTGGGGCAGCAAAGTCTTTAAGACTCTCCTCTCCAATTAACCACAAAAAGCCAGAAGTAGAACTGTGGCTTAAGTGGTAGAGCACCAGCCTCGAGTGAAAAAGGCTCCCAGGGCCTTAGTTTGAGCCTCAGTACCAACCCCCCACCCCCTAAAAAAAGAATTGATGCCATTCTTGCAGACCCCTCCTTAGTCCCTGAGAATGTAAGCTGTGCAAAAGAGCAAGGCTGGCCCCTGAGTCATCCTGGCTTCCTACCTTGCCAGTTACTGTCTCTCCCTACTCTCTTCCTCCATTATGGCCAGCGCCACGTTGTGATGTCATCAAGGGGCCCTCACAGAGATGGAGCTGGTGCAGCTTCCCTGCACATCTGTCCACTGAAGGACTCTCTCAACTTTATAAAAGACCCAGCCTTGAGGATGTTGTTACAGCAGCAGAACACAGACAAATACAGTTAAGAGACACAGTCAGTTAAGAGACGCAGCAACCAAACTCAAACAGGAACCCTTGACATGATCCAATCTAAACTTCCCTCCTTGGTGCACAGGCACGTCTTTCCCAGTCCTTACAAACATGTCAGCATTGTTTCTTTTTAAATCACACTCACACCTGAGGTGAACTTTTTGTTTTGGTCAAAGCTGAAAACTGGATCATGAAAAAAGAAACGCAGTTTAGTGACTTCTGGAGTGAAGTGAAATTTAGAATCACCTTGGAAAGGGAGAAAATGGTGATGCTAGAAAGCTGGTAAGATGAAAGTCTCCAGAACAAACTTTTTGTTGTTGTTCTTTCCATCTCTAAATCAGAAGTAAAGGCTCTCTTTGGAGCTTACATTTTAAATGTGTGAAGTGTAAAGATTTATGAGGAAGGCATAGAATGTGGTGTCTTTTGAAAAAGAACTAATGGAGCTTAGCTGGGTGTGGCAGCATGTACTGTCATTCTAGCTACTTGGGAGGCTAAGTTAGGAGGATTGTGAGTTTGAGGCCAAACTAGGAAATATAATAAGATCACATTTCCGTTAGACTCACAGCAGAACTACTAGTCAGCCAGTTTCCATTCTGAAGAAGCTGAGTTCTTCCCTTTCCTCTCCTTTCTTTTTTCTCTTTTCTCCTTCTTTCTTTCCTTCTTCTTTCTCTCCCTCCCTTCCTCCTTCCCTTCCTTCCTTCTTCCCTCCCTTCCTTTGTGCTAGTACTGGGGCTTGAATTCAGGACATGGACACTCTCCCTCAGCTTTTTTACTCAAGGCTTGGTGCCCTCCCACTTGAGCCACAGTACTACTTTTGGGTTTTTGCTGATTAATTGGAAATAAGAGTCTCGTGGACTTTTCTGCCCAGACTGGCTTTGAATGTGATCCTTAAGATCCAGACTCCTATTGCTTACTTATAATCCTAGCTACACAAGAGGCTGATATTTGAAGATTGGGGTTCAAAGACAGCCCAGGAAGGAAAGTCTGTGAGACTCTTATCGCCAATTAACCAGCAAAAAGCTGAGCTGGAGGCATGGCTCAAGTGGTAGAACACCAGCTCTGAGCAAGAAAGTTGAACAAGTACAAGTCCTGAGTTCAACCCATAGTACTGACAAAAACAAAGAAAACAAACATAACATGGACATAAAATTTGTGTCCTGGTGTATTAGGAGAGGCCTGGCTTTTAAGAGATTCCAAATTAATTCCAATTTCATGCGGTTCCAGTTGTACTGTGTGATTTGCACAAGTTGCTAACAGCACTTTTTGATTGCTTTTATCATCTATGAAGTAGAATCCCTAATAATTTCTGAATTATTGGTGGGATACATCCCATCAGATACACATGTGAAAAAAGCATATACACATGTAAGATGTAGAATTTGGCATATTATGCCATCATTAGATGAGTTTTGCACAAGGAAAAGAGGAATTTTCTAAGATATATTTTCCCTAATCAAATATAGCATGGACAATTGATAATGTTTAACTGTTTTGATATTTCACAATTTTCTCTCTTCTTTTTAGGGGGTTATGGGGGACAGTGCAGGATTGAATTTAGGGCCTTGAGCTCATTTGACTTGCTTGCTCACAGCTGGCACTCAATCACTTGAGTCTAGCCTCCAGTCCAGTATTTTGCTAGTTAATTGAAAATGGAGAGTCATGGACTTTTCTGCTTGAGCTAGCTTCAAACTTTAAGTCTTCATGTCTCAACCTTCTGAGTAGCTAGAATTATAGGCCTGCGCCTCCAGCATGTGGCTGTAAGAATAGCTTTTCAGAGAAAAGGAAAGGTGACATTGTCCAAAAAAACAACAAAAAGGTACTCTTTACCTGATTTATACAAGTGTAACCCCTCTGTACATCACCTTTATAATAATAAAAAAAATTAAAGAAGAATAGTTTCCCAGGACCAAGTGTAATAATTCATGCCTGTAATCTCAGCACTTGGGAGGCAGAGACAGAATTGAGTTCAAGACTCAGACTTGGCAACATAATAAAAGCAAAAGAATATTCTTTCCAAAAAGGAATTTTAAAACCAGAGCAGCTTCAGAAATTATGTAATTACCCTGACTCAGTTTCCTGGTGTGGATAATGGAGACACTGGTTCCTCTGTCTTTAAGGGACTTTGTTCAGCTTTAATTTCACTGGTATTTATCTTCTTGGCCAATCTTCTTATGCTCTACACCTATAGGCCCAACAGTGAGAGGCTGAGGCAGAAGGTTTGAGCCAGACATTGAAATCTTGTCTGAAAACAACAACAAAGACAGATCGCTTCTCTTAGGAAATAGCTTCACTTGTCTCAACTGAAGTAAAAAACCTCCTACTTCCGCCTGGCTGGGGAACCTGAACTATACTGACTGTATCGTGCTACACATAATTCATGTTCTATCTTAGATACTAACTACTAAACCAAAGAGGCTGAAATCATGCAATCCTCTTTATTTAATTAGAACCACACTACTCATATAAACTTACTAAAGACTCCTTAATCCTTGTAATAAAAAGCAGGGGGAAAATAGTAGTGATGTCTTTATGTTATTGCGCCTTACAACAGTTTAATGGAGTTAATAATATTGTTGTTCTTTTTAACCAATGGCTTAATGAGGATGATTGTGTGATCCCAATAAATTAGTTCACAACTTCAAATATACAACTCTATATCTGAAAAAAAAGATGCTACATTTGGGGATAAAAAAACCACTATTACATGTTTTTGTGAAGTTTGATTACTTTGTACTAACAGGTGTGTGTGTGTGTGTGTGTGTGTGTGTGTGTGTGTGTGTTGGTCCTGGGACTTAAACTCAGGGCCTCTTGCTTTCTCTTAGCTTTTTGTTCAAGGCTGGCACTTTACCACTTGAGCCACAGCTCCAGTTCTGATGTTTTGCTAGGTCATTGGAGATAAGAGTCTCATATTTGTCTCCTTGGGCTGGCTTCAAACTTCAATCCTCAGACCTCAGCCTCCTGAGGAAGGAGGGTTACAGACATGTGCCACCAGTGCTAGCCGCTTCTGTCCTTGACCATTACTTTCCCACAGAAGTGTGACTTGAAGCAAGTGGAGAAAGTGCCAAGGACCTGCAGAGCTTTAAACAGACCATTCCACTCACCAGTCTGGAAAAGGACCCAAAGAGAAGCAGGCTTTGATGAGAATGTTCACAAAGACCCACCTTCTGTTGGACAGCAGAAAGAGCATTGGAGGAGAAAGTGACAAAGAAAATGCCCACCTTATTTCCTCCAGGTGACAGATGATGACAGCAGGAAATCAGAGCCCAGAAGCAGGCACAGAGGACCCCATCTTTACCTCCCCACCCCAGAGGACTCATGCTCCGAGGAGCAGGGCAGAGCTGGCTGAGGGGCTGTGCAGGTTGCTCCTGTGAAAGCCAGCGAAGAGTGTCAGGGCCACAAGATTGTTTCTGACAGTACAGGAAGACGGGCAGGGCTTGCAGGAGGAGGAAGGAGACATTGAAAAAAACAGATTCTGAAGGGGGCTGGGTGCAGTGGCTCATTCTATAAATATCTCTGCATATTAACTCTGTGTAAAGCATTCCTCTGAGGATCGAGGTTCAAAGCCAGTCCAGGAGGACAAATCCATGAGACTCTTATCTCTAATTAACCACCAAAAAGCCAGAAGTGGAGCTGTGGCTCAAGTGGTAGAGCACCAGCCTTGATGGGAAAAAGCTAAGGGACAGTCCCAGGCCCTAAGTTGAAGCTCCAGTACCTGCACAAATACACACACACACACACACACACACACACACACACGTATGCATGTTATATATGCATATTGTAGGTATTTGTAACATCTGATAATTGGAACTTATTTTAGCTATTAAGTGTGGGCCAAGATTAGTGTCTGTCTGTTTGTTTTTCACATAGGCTTTGGATATGGTGTTTCCCAGGAGGGGGGCAGAGGATAAGAGAGCAAGTGGGAGGCCCCTCTACACCAGTGCCCCATGAATTCCTTCTATTAATGTCTCCCCCAACTAAGCAAACAACCACCATCTGCTCAGCTCTTTCATGAGGCAGAATGTTTCTCTTGTAGCAAGGAAGTAGTCTGGCTCTGTAATCCTAACCACTCAGGAGGCTGAGATCTGGGGATCAAAGTTCAAAGCCTGTCCAGGCAGGAAACTCTATGAGACATTTATCTCCAATGAACCACCAAAAAGCTGGAAGTAGAGCTCTGGCTCAACTAGTAGAGTGTCAACCTTGAGCAAAAGAAACCCAAGAAAAAGCCAGAAGTAGGGCTGTGGCTCAAGTGGTAGTGTGCTAGCCTTTAGCTAAAGAGCTGAGGGGCAGTGCCCAGGCCCAGAGTTCAGGCCACATGACTGACTAAAAAAGAAGAAAGAAAGAAAGAAAGAAAGAAAGAAAGAAAGAAAGAAAGAAAGAAAGAAAGAAAGAAAGAAAGAAAGAAAGAAAGAAAGAAAACCAAGAGGGAGCTCAAGGCCCTGAGTTCAAGCCTCAGTATTGGTACACAACACACACACACATGATATAATTGCATCCTCAGGATGTCAAGTGTCGCAGGAGTTCGGCAGCTGAAAGGCATATGACATTGCATTACATTAGGATGGAGGAAGGAGAAGGTGCTGTGGACTTCATCACTAGAGGAATACTAGCCTCAATCTGAGCTCGCAGAGAAGACTTCCTGGAGAAAGTGACCTGAAATCTCACCATGAGTGCTTCAACCGGAGAAAGACTGGAGGCCGTAAGGTAAGAATGTCCCAGGCCAAAGGAAGAAAGCGAAGGCCAAGCAGATTTTGGCCCAGCATGAGCAAAGAAGTCATGGAAACCCTGAGAAGACATACCACGAGTTTGAATGTTTGTCACAGAGCAACAAGAAATGTGGGGTATTTTAATTAGCAGGATAGCGGCACAGTCACATTTGCTGGTGGAAAGATCATTCATTTGCTGTGTTTCCCAGGGAAATTCGGAGTCAGCTGGTTTGCTGGGGGCACTGCAGGTGTTGTGTTCTACACTCTCTTCTGCAGGAGAGTTGAATGTACTATGCGACTGGACATGTCTTCTCTAAAACTGACAGGCAATTCAACACCCCAAAGACTTGGAACCAGTGTGGCTCAGGAGGGTCATGTGATTCCCAGGGCCTTTGGCTGGCCCAGAGGTCTCTGGATGTTACTCTGTGTTGTCAGTTCCTCTGAACTTTCTCTGCCATAGGTCATGTTCCTTTAGGTAGGGTCCCTGGAAACTGGGTCACCAGTTTCTCTGTGGTTTCTGTAGGAAAGCCGAGAGAGGCCTAAGAGCAGGGGCAAGCCCAGGGCAGGTGCAAGCAAACTGGGGAAAAGCCAGCCACCCTGGGCAAGGTCTCCAGTGAGAAGGAAAATGGATATTCCACACCATGCCTGCATTTCAAAGGATAAAAGGTGGGCTAAATATGTATATTACACACTGGTAGCTCATTAATCCTAGCTATTTAGGAGGCTGAGATCTGAGGATTAAGGTCCAAAGCCAGCCCTGGCAGGAAAGTCCGTGAGACTCTTCTCTCCAATTCCCCACCAGAAAACCAGAAGTGGAGCTGTGACTCAAAGTGGTAGAAGGCTAGCCTTCAGGGAGAGAGCTCAGGGACAGTGCCTAGGCCCTGAGTTCAAGCCCTGTATCAGACAAAAAAAAAAAAAGGCATACTACTGAATTCCCAAACTTAGCTTTCTTTAATTGCAAAATGTCATTATTGAGTATTATGCATGGTGAAGATTTTGATGATATTTTAAACTTGCTGGACTTTTCAATCTTTATTCTCAGCCCTTTCTGGATTTCTGCAAGTGGGTTTTAGGTAACCTGGAGCCCAGGGGACTATGATCCTTCAGAGACCCTGGAGGGAAACAGTGCTCTTCTACAGCTAGAGGCGCATGACACATGGCTTAAAACTTGGTCACTATGTTAACACTATTTACATTTCATTTATATGTATTGTGTGTGTGTGTGTGTGTGTGTGTGTGTGTGTGAGCGCGCGCGTATGTACACACATGTACACGAGTTCTGGGTGTTTGAATTCAGGGCCTGGGTGCTGTCCCTGAGCTTTTTCACTCAAGGCTAGCACTCTACCATTTTAAGCTACAGCTCCACTTGTTGGTGGTTTATTGGAGATAAGAGTCTCAGAGACTTTTCTGTCTGGAATAGCTTTGGATAGCAATTTCCAGATCTCAGTCTCCTGAGTAGCTAGGATTACAGGTGTGAACCCAGTGACCAGCTCATTTATACGCTTTTGAATTGACATATAAAACTTGTCCACATCGATGAGGTACAATATGCTGTCTCAGTCTATATACATGTTTTGTAATGTTCGAATCAGGGTAAACATACTTGTGTCTTCAAAATCATTTCTTGGTGGTGAATATATTCAAACACAGCCAGATGCACCTTTTTCACTTTTCTTTTTTTAATGTACAGGATATGATCATTACCTTATCGAGTAACACAATGTCAGATCTTCTTCTGTCTAACTATAACTTAGTATTGGTTTATCAACCTTTTTCAATCCCAGAAGATTGATACAAATTCTCTATTTACTTAAGAGTTTAGGACAAAATGTAGACTTTTAAAACCAAACAGATAGCTTGCAAGAGACTTCTAAGGATCCCTGGTTCAGTGGCCCAGGACTCCGCGAAGCCAGACTCCGCCTCCTGACCCTGTGTACCTCGAGTGAGGCCATCCCAGAAAGAGATGCAGACTGCCCTAAAGGATCCATTCACAGAAAAGAAATCTATTTCTGCTTCTTCAAGAGCCAGTATGACACAGTTCAGAACACTACTCTTTTGCATTCGTTATTATATAAATTATATATGATATATAATATATTTTTGGTTTTCTAAATGTCCTGTCCAGAGGGGTTATAGTTACATAAGTCAGGTGGTGAATACATTTTTTAAGACAATGTCATCCCTTCCTTCCCTCTCTTCCAGTTTTTCCCTCCCATCCCCTAACAGAGTGTCTAGTGAGTAGCATTGCTGCTTTTGCTCTCCCTTTCTCCCTTCATTCCTATGCCTCTCCCTTACCTCCCCTCAGACAGATAAACAGAGGCACAGAGGCACTTCTGTGTTCTTCTCCTAAGAGTATCCTCCTTTGTTCTCACTGTGTGTGAATACCTACAGTCCTGTGTAATTTATCATGTTCCGGTGCATTTCAGATCTAGCTTCTGCATATGAGAGAAAACCTGCGTCGTTTGTCTCTCTGAGCTTGGCTTACCTCACTTAGCAAGATTTGTCCTAGGTCCATTAATTTCCCAGCAAATGACACAGTATCATTCGTTCTAATGGCTTTGTAAAACTCCATTGTGTATAGGCACCATATTTTTTTGGTTTACCATTTACTGTAGGGCATCTGGTCTATTTTCATAGGTTGGCTATTGTGAATAGTGCAGCAGTAAACATGAATGTGCAAGTGTCCTTACTTGTTAATGTTCTGAATATGTGCCCAGGAGTAGCAAAGTTTTTTGTTGTTATTTTAAAATAAATACCCATAAGTAGAATGGCTATATGTGTTAGTTCTGTTTTGTGAGGGGGGGTTGATTTTTTTTTTTCTTCAGAGGAATCTCCATACGGGCTTCCATAGCAGCCACATGATTGTGTGCTCATAAGCTGTGCGAGGGTTTTGGTTGCTCCATATTTTCACCAATTCTATGCAATTATTTCTTTGGGGGTAATACCCATTGTGCCAGTTATGAGGTGATCATTCACCTGGTTTTGATTTGTATTTTGCTGATGACAAGTGATGTTGAAAGCTTTTACGTATACCTTCTGGCTTCTTATCTTTTGCATTATTTGCTTAACTGCTTCAGTGAGATGCCATAGGACCAGGAGCTCCTGGAAGGGGTGGTGTTTGACCATCCTGTGGTTGCTTTCTCATTCTGGGAACTGGGCTGTTCTGTATCTATTTACATAAGGTAATTGATGAGTTTATTTGTCTATTTCCTTCTTAGGCAATGAGCCCTTGTGGGGACACATACTGGCCCCCAGAGCATCTGTCTGACAGGCATTCAGTAAATATTTGTTGAAACGAAGAAAAGTATAATTAAGTGATGTGAAGTCAGAAAGGCTTCAGAATGGATCATGAAAAGCTCAGACAACCTAACGTATCCTGTTCAAAAGATCTAAACAGCGAATGTTTCCTCAAGCCCCTGACTCTCTCATCTGACTCCCATGGCTCCCATTTAGGAATAACTTTGTTCTTCCTAAGTTTATTCCAAAAAGGAGATATGTAAACTGAACATTCCACCGGAATGTTGCAACAGGAAACGGAGTAGCTGCAAATCTCCTACAAAAGGAATTCAACTACTTAGCCTGGGTCAGTAAATACTAATATTGTAAAATGAAAAAAAACAAACCACTATGTGATTTATAACGTTATTAACTATTACTATAGAAATTAAACTTGAATTTTAGAAAGCAAAGCTAGCACATTTAGTAATACTACAAACAAGGAGACTATTCAGGTATGTTTAGTTTAGAAAGACTTTTGGTATCTCTGGAAAAGAAAAGTCTTCCTCTACAATGAGATGGTCAAAAGTAGCCTAAGTTCTCTATAGAAAATGTTCATTAAATACTCTATAGACCAGCTGTCATCCAAAAGAAATATCAAATGGATGTCTTTTATTATGTTAAAACTTGTTTTAATCATAAGGTGCTAGTGGCTCACACCTGTAGTCCTAGCTACTCAGGAGGCTGAGATCAGAGGATCACAGTTCGAAGCCAGCCCAGGCAGGAAAGTCTGTGAGGTTCTTATCTTCAATTAACCACCAAAAAGCAAGACATGGAGCTGTGGCTGGAGTGGTAGAGTACTAGCCTTGAGCACAAAAACTCATGGACAGCACACTGGCTCTGAGTTCAAGTTCCAGGACCTGCACCAAAAACAAAAACAACACACACACACACACACACACACACACACACACACACACTTGCTTTTAGCATCACTCTGACAGTTGAATTTTTAAAAAATATATTCATATGCCTAATAATCTATTTTTGCAGAAATAGAAAATTTTACCCTAAAATTTATATGGAATCTTAAGAGCTCCCGAATATCTACAGCAGCCTTGCAAAAGAACAAAGTTGGAGGTCTCATTCTTCCCAATTTCAAAGCTTATTGTAAACCTACACTCATGACAGGCATGAACATCTGTAGCACACAGAACACAAAAGTAAATCTCTGGTACAGTCAAATCACCAAAACCATTCAGGCCAGGGTGGGGAGTTTGGGGGGAGAGCCTTTTCAGCAAACAGTGTTGGAAAAACTGGATATCCACATGAAAAGAAGAAAAGTAAACCCTTACTGTACCCTATTAGACAAAAATTAAATCAAGGTGAATACAAAGTGAATTGTGCGCCCATAGTTCACAGCTGTGATCCTGGATACTCAGGAGGTTGAGACCTGGAGGATCACTTTTGAAGCTAGTCAGGGAGACAAATCTTAGAGACTCTTATCTCTAGTTAACCAGAAAGAAGATAGAAGTGGAGATATAGCTCAAGTGGTAGAGTAGTAACCTTAAGCGAGAAAGCTGAGCTCAAGGCCCTGAGCTCAAGTCCCAATACAGTCATACACACATACACACACACACACACACACACACACACACACACAGATTAAAATGCAAAATGTAAGAGCTAAAACTGTAAATTACTCAGAAAATCTCAGAAAAAATATTTCATGATGTTGAATTTGGCAGGTATTTCTTGGACATGACACCAAAACACAGAAAAAAATTCAGTCATACTTAAACATTTTCCTGCATCAAAGAGTACAGTTAACCAAGAGAAAAGCATCTCATGGACTAGGAGAAATGTGTACAAGCCACTTGTCTAACGGATAAATGTCAAGAATATTAAAGAATCTCTACCATTAATTTTTTTTAGTGGGCAAAGCTCTTGAACAGCCATGTTTCCAAAGACATTACACAAATGACCAAAAAGCACACAATAGGGGGCTCAGTATCATAAACCATTAGAGAACTGTGAACCAAAATTGAAATTCACTGGGACCACTTTACACATATTGGGATATCCTTTATCAAAACAAAACAGAAAATAACAAGTATTCATGAGGATATAGAGAAAGTATAGTAATGCCATACGCCACCAGTAGACTTGTAAAATGGTGCAACCACTATAGAAACTATTATGGGAATGTCTCAAAGAGTGAAAAATAGAGTAGCAAATGACTCAGCAATTCTACTTCTGGGTATAAATACAAACATATGGAAAGCAGAGACTCAAATAGGTATTTGTGCATCAATGTGCATTCACCACAGTTAAAAGTATAAGGAACCCAACTGGTAGATAAATGTATAATCTAAATGCAGCGTATACAGATAATGGAATGATATTCAGCCTTTAAAAGCTGGGGAATTCTGATAAATGTCACTGCATCAATAAACCTTGAGACTGTTGTGCCAAGTAAAATAAGTCAGTTACAAAATGCCAAATACTGTATGAGTCCATTTGGATGAATTAGAGTAGTTAAATTCACAGACAGAATGGTGGTTGACAGGACATGGAAGGGGGAGGATTGAATATGTTTATCTCTAGTTTAGGAGATTACAAAATGCAGATGGATTGTGTCAATAGATGCAATACACAGTTTCTTTGCTTATTTATCAGTTACTTATGCTTGAACTCAGAACTTCTCACTTTCACTCAGCCTGTCTTCCTTCCTTGCTTTGTTCCTTCCTTTCTTCCCACCTCCTCTCTCTCTCCCTCTCTCCCCTCTTTCTCTTTTTCTTTCTTCCCTTCCTTCCTTCCTTCCTTTCCTCCCTCCCTCCCTCCTTCCCTCCCTCCTTCCTTCCTTCCTTCTTTCCTTCCTTCCTCTCTCTCTCTCTCCTCTCTCTCTCTTTCTTTCTTCCTCTTTCTTTCTCTCTGTGGCAACCTTGGGGCTTGAACTTTTGGTAAATTTAATCCTTTCAACATAAACCAACATCCCAGATGCTATTTTTTAGCTTTTTTGTTGAGCTTTACACTTGAGACACAGCTCTACTTTCTGATTTTTAGTGGTTGATTGGAAATCTGAGTCTCATGGGTTTGTATGCCCAGGCTGGCATGGAACTTTGATATTTGGATCTCAGCCTCCTGAATTACAGATATGAGCCGCTGGTGACTGGTTCACTCAGCTTTCTTGCTCATATCTGGGATTATACCATCCAAAACAGCTTTTTTTTCCCCCCTGGAAATGGAGTCTCAAAGACTTTTATTCTCTGAGGTTGACTTTGAACTTGGAATGACCAGATTTCAGCCTCCTGAGTAACTTTACCTGGTACAAGTCATTTTCACTGGCCATATATTTAATAACACTAAACTATACACAACTAGAGTAAAAGTGATGTTTTTATATGGCATATATTTTACTCTGTGTGTGTGTGTGTGTGTGTGTGTGTGTGTGTGTGTGTGTGTGTGTGTGTGTGTGCCAGTAATGGGGCCTGAACTCATTCAGGACCTTCCTTTCTTGCTTAGCTTTTTTTTTTTCAAGAATGATGCTCTACCACTTGAGCCACATTGCATGTCTAGCTTTTTCCTGATTAGTTGGACATGGGTTTCTGGAAATTGTCTGTATGAACTAACTTTAAACCATGATCTTTGGATCTCAGCCTCCTGAGCAGCTAGGATTACAGGTGTAAGCTGCTGGCACCCAGCCTTTCACCACACTTTGTAAGAATTTAACAGTCCCCTGTTCGACCCCAACAATTCTGAGGAAAATAAAAATCCTTTATCGCTAATTATCCATTTTTTAAGAAGTGAAAACACCATGAAACAAATTTTCTAAAGTCTACGTAGTCTTATCTTCCTCATGACTAGCTATCTGAATATTGGTGTCATCCAATGACAACGCATTTTTGCTCTGTGATTTTTCTCATGTTTTCTTCAGTGCATACCCTGGGGTATTAACAGTGAGACAGCTGCTGTGTCCTGAATTAGAAATCAGCCAGGGTCACAGGTTCCCAGAGGCAGGGCTAGGAGTCCACGGTGCAGAACTTCTGAAACTCTACAAAGAAAGACCTTGGACAGAGCGGGGCAGATGAGGTACAGCTGTGGGAGCTAGGTGAGAATTTGGATTCTTCAGAGCACTGAGAACTGATTGCTAAGACACAACTGGTCAGTATTCTGTGGTTATTTACCCAGATCAGTTAATATTTTTTGTGTGTGTTTCAGTCCTGGGGCTTGAACTCAGGGCCTGAGCACTGTCCCTGAGCTTTTTTGCTCAAGGCTACCAATGTACCATTTGAGTCCCAGCTCCTCTTCCAGTTTTTTGGAGGTAAGAGTCTCCTGGCTGGCTTTGAACCTCCG